GATGTAGGGTATAGGATATGTAGTTTTAAAGGTTTAGGATTTGGGAGTCGGGAGTGAGAGGTTTGGGTTGAGCATTTACGGGCTTCCTGGGGGTCAAGGATTTGGGGCTTGGGATTTGTGGTATACTAAAAACGCGTTTTGGATTTGGGGAGGTTCTCGAAACTGTGAGCTCTTAGGGACGCTAGGGATACACATTGGGTGGACCCCCCACCATGTAATAGTGGCTATAAAGGAGAATAAGGATTATATTCGGGTCCTCTTATATTCCTATTATACCACTATTACAGGGTGGGGGTCCTCCTAAGACATACAGATGGGTTGTACAGGGATCGTAGAAGTGCCCTTGAGGATCAGATAACGTTACAAGGTAGTACCCTAAACCCTAAACCCTAAGTAAACCCAATGAACTATAGTAAATGGACTACAGGCGCTTCCATTTTCTTCTCCATTACCCCAATATAACCCTAATATTTCAAACCCTGAGCTCTAAGATGCACCGTTGTAGGGTTATCGACTGTTACTTAGGTACTTTCTTCGAGTCGTCGTACCTTTTATCTGCGGACTTCTATAATCCCCTACACCCTAAACCTTTAGACTAATAATGGGCGTGCAAAAAACAGGCGAAGCCGTCCTTGTTCGGGCTTCCCCTTGTGTAATCCAACACGGAACCTCAAAACGGGGCCTACATAGACTACTGCCTCTTAAAGAAAGGCTGTTAGCTTGGCTCAGGGTAGGGATTGGGGTTTCGGGGCTTCCAAAAAATACGGGAGCCCCTTCTTGTGGGAAAACTCTTATAAGATGGATTATGGGAGCCCCTACTTATGAGTGGACGTTTATAAGATGGATGATAGCAGATCGGCGTCTATTGGGGGTCCTAACTATTGGAAACCCCGATTTAGGCTTCAGATCTCAAGCGCCTTCACATTGCAACCTTTTAGGAAAGTCTGGGCGTCAAGATGCGGGAAACGAAGAGCTGACCCAACAGCCCATAGCTTGGGTTTAGGGTGTAAGGGGTGAATCCGCTGAAGGGGACTCTAGTTTAAGCCTTAAGCTTTAATGTGGGAATTCATCCAGCATTGCGAGCCTTCTACAAACTCTGGACCCCATGAGGCTAAACCCTTAAATAGCAACTAAACCCAAACCTTAACCCTTAAACCCTACTTCTACGCCACACTCCCATTGCTCGATGTGCTTCCATGGAGCTACGAAACCTTGGCCCGCAGCCCTGAAGTCAGCCATGAATTCTCTCCACTTAAGGGTTTCGGGTTTAGACTCCCCCAAACACAGGGCTTAGGGTTGAGGACCCCAATATGGATCCCAAAATGCTATCATGTTTACTGTAGGAACCCCGAAAAAGAAAAAATGACGGAAATCCCCAGATAGGGCAAATCGTGTGTTTGTTTATATTGGGAACTAAAGCGAGATTCCTCAGCGCAACCCAGTGGATGGCTAGCATAATCACTATAGGGTTGGCCTAGGGTTTATATGGAACCCCCTGTAGTTACTGCCCCGGCCTCCTTACAGTATACCCGATTTGCTGATGGTTTCTTTGGGAGGGAGGCCAGCTAGGACTTCTGTGATTTTGAGTACATATAGGGATTATCCAAATTTTGTTTCCCTTAGGCCGTTAGGCAGCGGCACTTGTCCTTAGATTGGGTTTCCCTCATAAGTGCACCAAATGGGCTTTCTGCATTTTCAGCAGACTCTCATCTCCTACATATACTAGAGGAACCTGCAGTAGAGCTTTCGCAGTCAGGACTATGCATTGTGAGTTCCAGGACTTTGCTGATAGTCGCCTCCACTGTCGCGGCCGCGGCAGCAGTGTGCCTTTGCACAATATCAGGTCGAAAGGTCTGGGGTTTCCCAAAATTATGGGTACCTTTTTTGGGGGGTCCCCAGAAAAAGGATTATAGTATATTGGGGTCTATGTTGGGGTCCCCTACTTTGGGAAACTAGCCTTTCCCGGATCATTGCTTTTCTTTCCCTGGGGTCAGTACTAGGGGTTGCTGTTAATTAGGAGAGGAGCCCCACGGCCGGACGGTTACATTCTGTCGTAAAAAGCAACTGCGTGTAGGTGGAGAGAGAGAGAGAGATACGTATATAGGGTTTAGGGCTTAGGGTCTGAATGAAGTCGACCGCTTTTTGGCTCCAGGCAATACGCAACTTCATGCATTCCGGAGTTTCGTTTGGATGCAGTATGGCTGGTCGGCTACTAAGCAAGCTTCTTAACCAGGAGGAACCTGGACCTGGACGAAGCTAGAGAGGGTCTTCATGTTCCCGTTGATGTCCTCAAACCCCACGCCAAACTTATGTGAGCCGTAGTCTAAACTCCTCAAAGGGTCTTATAAGGGCTTATATAGGAGATCACTATAGTACTTATTAGGGGGATACTAGGAGTTTAGACTATAGCTCATGTATTGCTGTTGCAGAACTTACAAGAGGCATGTAGAGTGCGGTACAATTCGCAAGCAGCGGCACCTTCCTTAGAGGAGCAGGTTGCCAGGTATTTCCCAAAGGCTCCAAAGACCTGTTGGGGTTTCGGGCTTAAGGTTCTAAAGCCCTATGTAGGTACTATTTATAGGGTTTATGACCCAAGGTAGGTTAGACGTATAGACCCTAAAGCTACTATAATCCTTATTATGGGGCCACTAAATGGTACCTTGAATTTCAGGAAACCACCCATATGGGCTTATTGTCCCCCTGAAGTAGATAGAATATGGCTTTGGTTATATTATGATAAACTCCCCATATACCCCATATTCTATCTACTTAAGTGCTACTATACCCCTAAACAGCAAACCCTATAAACCCTAAATAATGTTTTGGATTTTCTTTTCCACTATCCCATTACAACCCCAATAGATCCCATATTCTATCTACCTAAGCGGGACGATAATTAGAGGCTTGGGCATTCCAGTCACCCCATTGCAGCCATTGGTTTTGCCATGGCCACCCCCGCAGTGATTGGCCGAAGCTTGGGCAGGAGCTTCACTGAACAGTAGGGTTCGGGGTTTAGGCTTTAGGGGGTTTAGGGTTTAGGGTTCAGGGTTTAGGGTTTAGGGGAACACATTTTCCCTAAGTACTAAAGAATTGTAAGTACTAAAGACTTTGTGAAAACAGTTGCCCTAAGTACTGAAGAACTGTAAGAAGTAAGAAGGGAAACATTTCCTTGAACACAACATGTGTTTACCTAATCTCCAGACCCCAAACCTCTAAACCTCTAAACCCTAGACCCCTAAACCCCTAAACCCCTAAACCCTAGACAGCTAAACCCTAAGCCCTTTTAGTAGGAGCTTCACGTGGGGCCGGACCTTTGCTGCTTTCCGCATCCGCAACTCGCGCGCCTACGCTGGGAAAGTCTCGCGAGAAGCCGCGCCAGGGATGTTTGGTATCAAGGCCCAAGTAGGGAAAAGCCACGTTATAACCAGATTCCTTCAGTGTCTTAGCACTACCTCTTAAGATGAGACATAGCGCATGACAGCACTAGTGTTTTTTGCAGTTTACCAGCCTAGATCGAGGCCCTACTCTCTGCTTTGACTGGCAGCCTCCTGGGTCGGCCACGGCGCTTGGCAGCTGAGCGGCCAGTTCCTGCCTTGCTGTTTAGGAACATAATTTAAACTTCCATCATAGGAGAACCCTTTCATTTACTGTATACCCATATTTTGGTAAGTTAAAGGAAGCTCCTACAATAGGAACCCTTTTATATACTGTATGCCCATATTATGGTGATTGAAGCTACGTTCCTATAATAAGGAACTCTTTTGTTTACTGTATACCATATTATGGTACCTTAAACCCTAAGCCCCTATATCCCAGACTATGGTATATACCCACATTATGGTAGCTTAGCTTAAGTTCCTGAACAGC